TTTATCCTTACCACCGATGCGTCAGACTTCGCTGTAGGAGCAGTGCTTTCTCATGTCTTCCCCTCCTCTCCTGATTCCTCTCATCCCTGTATCCCTCGCTTCCCACCACCTACCCCTACCACTGCTTCCCGACTGACGCCTACTCGTCCAGCTACTGACGAGCCTTCTATTGACTATTCTCCTACCATCGCCGAGGACGGCACTGTTGAGTCTCGCTCAGGTGATTGTTCGATAGCCTTCTACTCCCGTCGGCTCCAGACCGCCGAGATAAACTACACTGTTGATGAACGTGAGGTTCTCGCAGTAGTTTATGCCGCTCGGCACTGGCGTCACTACCTGCACGGGACACCGTTCACGGTGCGTACGGACAACTCTGTTGTCCAGGCTTTTCTGACAAAACCGAAGCTCACTCCTTGACAGGATCATTGGTGGCGTGACCTATCCCAATTTAGTTTCACCACTGAGCACATCAAGGGTGAAACTAATCGGGTCGCAGATGCCTTATCCCGGCGCCCTGACCACGATCAGGAGCAGATCCAGCTCTCTTCCATCTCGGTCACCACTGTCTACCACTCGGTGATCGACGAGTTTCGCACTTAGTACCGCCACTGCCCCGACTATCGTGACATCCACGCGACCCTTCGGAGTGGCAAGACCGTCCCAAACTACTCTCTCGGGGACAACGGCCTCGTGTACTGGCACGGTTCACAGGGCACCAGAGAGCCCCGTATTTGTGTTCCCTCCACTGGACAGCTACGTGTCCGAGCAGTAGCAGAGTTCCATGACCAGGCAGCCGCTGGTGATATGGGCTTCCACAAGACGTTGGCTCGTGTGAGCCGCCTGTACGTCTGGCCGAAGCGCAAGGACTTTGTGAAGGACTACATCGCAGAGTGTCCTTCCTGTCAGGAGGTGAACAATGCGAACCACCTGCCTTATGGTTTGCTCCTGCCTTTTCCTATCCCTGAGGGTCGTTGGCAGCCCATCTCGATGGACTTTATCAGTCTTTTTCGTCCTCCGACCCCTCGCGGTCATGATGCTATCCTGATCGTTGTCGACCGCTTCACGAAGCGTGCACGCTTTGTTCCGTGCCGCTATGCCATCAGGTCACGTGAGGTCGCCGACACCGTGTTTGACCGAGTCGTGCGTGACTACGACTTACCTCTGAGCATCATATCTGACCGTAACCCGCGCTTTACCAGCCGATTCTGGCGACGGCTCCACGAGGTGTACGACATTCAGCTCCGCTTCTCCTCGTCTTACCATCCTCAGACTGATGGTCAGACCGAGATCACGAACAGGACTCTCGGAGATATTCTCCGAAAGATTATTCGTGACGACCAGCAGTGGAATCTCCATCTTGCCCACGCGGAGATAGCCTACAACCAAGTCGTCTCGCCAGCCACCAGGATGTCGCCTTACTATTGCGACCTCGGCTATCACCTTCGTGTTCCTGCGGACTTCCTTCGACCGTCCCAGCTGCACCCCGACACGAGTTGTGCCGCGCTGGATGATTGGGTTGCACACATGACGTCGATCATGAAGACCGCACATGAGCACATAGCCGCTTCCCAGACTCTCATGGTAGCACGTGCGAACCGATCGAGAATGGATCATCCTTTCAAAGTCGGTGATGATGTGCTTATCGGTGCCCGCCACTTACAGCTCGAAGCGGACACGCTTTGCAAGTTTCGGCGTCGCTTCTTTGGCCCATGCCGCATCCTCCAGGCCGTTGGTTATGATAAGGCATCTAGCCCGGTCAGCTTTCGTGTGAAGCTGCCCGACTACCTACGCCAGGCTCGTGTGCACGATGTCTACCACGTCTCGTTATTGCGTCCTTACCGCAGACCGTCTGAGCGTTTCGCTGGACGACCATACGAGCGCCCTCCACCCATCATGGTGGACGGCCACGAGGAGTTCCTCGTTTCAGACATCATTGGTCGCCGAGTCACCGACGACAACCCTCCCCACGTCGAGTATCTCGTACGTTGGAAGGGTTACGC